CTCCATTCACACACAGAAGAAGGGAATGGCAAACCACTTCTGGATCATCTGCCAAGAACGTATATGAACAGGTCCCAGTCCGAGAAAAGGATGGAAGGATCCTGTTCATATGGACCTGTCGTCACACAGAACACTAAATAAATAAAAATTATAAATGAGGCTTACAGTGATGTGTGGGGGGCGTGTGGGTAGAGCTCCATGCGTTTTAAACCTCGGTAGGTGAGTGACCCAGTCCCCCTGACAGAATGCTGGTCGGGTCTCAGCCTCTCGCACACGGAAGTGCTGAAAAGACAAATCGAACTGCACGACTTATGTCGGGACCAGGACATCCATGAACTGCAGACAGCCGACGTCGCGGGTCACAGACGTCACGTGACCCTCTCAGATAACGGAAGGTTGAACTGCCCTCGTTTTGAAACTTGGGACAGGAAACTCAGAGAGATTCTTTGTATTTGCTAGCAAAACTTCAAATTGACGTCTGTGGGCCTCGGGAGTCCTAACACGTTCTTATTGTAAGAGTTAAAATAAATCAGACAGTTTTACGATCCGGACGATATGAATCGCCATTAACTAATCACATGTTATAAAAAGGCTATATAATTCGTAATTACAAGTTTCCCTACCCCAGCTCTAATAACGCGTCCAGACAACGTCACATTACAGAACTGACAGATCTTGTACAGGACAGGCGTTCTTTGTGACACGCAGACCGTTCCACAATATTTCGTGCAGTATAGAACTTTCAGGGTTGTATCAGTAAAGTGACTGAGGAATACCACAGCGCCCATTGAGGTCTGGAGTCCACAAAATTTTAATGCCAATAACCCGTACTCCTTTCTTCTAGATCTACCAATCGCTAAATTTAAACTGGCACAGTGGGACGATACGAATAATAAATATTCAAGAATCGGTAACAGTCGACGTGTCGCTGGAGGGCGGTATCTGTGAGATTGGACACACCACATTAAATTTTTAAAACAAAGCGTGCAAACCTGTGATTTGCACCGAATGTCACGTGCATCTGAAAACCTTATCGTGAACAAATTCGACAAACTTCAAGGGAGGAGGCCAGTTGGAAGACCAAGACACAGATGGTAAGACAAGGACCTCCTGTTCTGCGCATGCGCCTGTCATCTTGGGGGGGGGGGCCCCGTGAGGATCATAATAGCCCACGAAGCCGATATATCGGCCGTTCAACTACGCGTTTCGAAATGAAGGTTGAACTGCCACAAGACGGAGTCGAACGCGAGACCTGAACCTTCAAGTTCAACAAAGTTATCGCCAGGCCAAGAAAGCGTATGTGGGGAATTGGTGTATCGCTCCACGCATTCTTAACCTCGGAAGGCGAGCGGTCAGCTTCAAGACGGAGCGACAGATCATCCAGTGGCCAGGACAGGAGTCGAATCCTGGTCCTGCAGACTGCCCACAGAATGCCGGGCCGTCCGCAATCTGACTTGGCAGGAGCTCAACGGCAGTTGCGGTGGGCAGATTGGAGTACTTCCTGCTTCAGAGGAGAGCGCGGGATATCCTGTCACGTGACTAACGTAGGGTTCCCTCCGCCAATTGTGATCAAATTCCAATTGAACGCTTTGTGTCTGGAACCGGGCAACCCAACGCCTCCGATGCCAACTCCCAACCCCGAACCGAACAATTCAGATCCACGTTAATATTAACCTCACTTCTAACTCTCGACGTTCCAAGCGACTGGCTTCTTACAGGTTTCCCTGCCACAATTCTGTGTGCATTTCTTGTCGCTTCAATCACATCAACCTCACCGCAACCTCTGGATTGTTCTGCATCAACCGTACGCGTTGACATGAAGAATCACCAAATTCCACGAAATGTCAAATTTGGTGATTCACTGTCTAAATCATTCCTAAAACCAAGGGCGAAGGGCCTCTTCTGCACCCAGGTCCCGAGTCTCGGAGATCCCTTTATGCCTTCAGGAAGCCCAGATTTAATTATAAAGCTTATAATTTCTCTTGTCAGCATTTCGCCATAATTTAATCCATGCAGATAAAATGAGAAACTGTCGGAAGGTGAGTTGGAAGACATAAAAATTGTTTCTTGTAATTGAAATCATTCACGTGCGATGTGTTTGGAGGTGGGCTGAGGGCGTGCGAGGTAAATACGTAAGGAAAAGAAATTCTTCAGCTGTTACCGGGCACCCAGAAACGTCCCCACGCAAGTGCACAGAACAAATCTTTTCGCCTGCACTGACATTCTTCCGTCAAAGTAAGAGACTACGTTTCACGGTAATACAAAACAAATTATAAAACTTGGGTCCGGAGATAGGGATTAGCTCTATCTAGTGGGCCCCAGCTGTGTAGGAACCTGAAGACGGAGACAGAGTCCCATCTCCGAAACGTCGTTTTTTACGTTTTATATTTACTAGACGATGGATAATATCCAAGGAAATTTTTATTCAAATTATAAAACTGCTTCGTACATTTTCGTCAATATTAAAAAAATATGAACACTCATGACGCATTTGTACTTAATGAAAAACATTTCCTGATGTTATCGTTCTTGAGATGGGTTGGTCTCGATGTGTCTTTCGATATATTTATCGATTCCTTCCGAGATTTTGTTACCAGAACTTTGCACTGATTTCTCATTTCGCCACATGTCGTCCAAGATAATAAAGGAACTCGTGTTGACAGCTGGGGATAGCCATCGGGTTCCTGCTTCCGCCGATGATGGTCAAGAACCACGATAACCTGGACGACATCGCCCACGACCTGTCCCTCATGTACTACTCAGTGGCGGGCTTCACCACAGCGCTACTGGTCCTCATCGTGCTACGTAAGTACGGACAGGCAAGCTTTTTCATGTGCATTAACCACATTAAAGGATCTTATAAGGTTCCGAAGGCGTTCATTTCACATACAATGGAATGCGTCGCCATTATAGAATACGTGGATGCAAAAATCTCGTAATCTTTTATAAAAGTCAGTCCACTGAAGTCGATTTTAATTTCTGGGGGCTAAAGAATAGCATCGTATAGTTAGAAGGTTCCCAAGCACTGCCCGCTTGCCCTACGTGCGTCGCCACAGACGTTGGCCTGACGCTACGACAACCAGTCCCTACCGAAAAGAAAACACAAAACGCGCAACGGTTACAAAAAGAACCAATGGTTCAATAGCCGACGCAGTATAGAATAGTTTTTTTTTAAGTGACGTGCGATATTTAATGTTTATTGAATGAGAGAGGCCTGGGTGATTCTAAAGTTGTGTGTCACATCGTGTTACAAATACGCAACATCGCTATCATGTGATGTGGACGCCAACTTTTTTTCAAAACAAAACAATCTTCGATGATAACCAACGCAGACTTGTGACGCACAACTTAAAGATTACTCTGTGGTTCACTGCAACAGTACTTCTCTTTCCGAGATGCTAATGACTTTTGGCGAGTCCTTTCCCTGCTTTTTAGTGCAAAATGTTTATTTGTATTATATCGCAAGTTTTAACACCTAAAATCCGCTCCCTAGTTATAGCCATTCGCATGTATATTTCATATACATAAGACCACCTCCCGATGTGTGTGACGCGTTCATACGACCACTAACACACAGCTGCACCATGTTTCAACCTAAAAGACAGGCGAGTAGAAATTGACCATAAGGCGTTCTTCGCTTGCATCACAGCTTAAAGAACGTCTAGAATGTTTCAAGTAAAATATACATTAATAACACAGGCCTAATACTATGTATAAATATTTTTATAGAACTAAATCTTTTAACATACCTGTTTTCATTTGAGCTTCATGTAGGGGTTACAAAGGCACAATCCTCACTACTCACAAGATCACCAAATGGCGTTTAGTGTTTTCGATATTTATATCGATATGTATTCCTTTGACCAAGACTGGTCGATTCTTTGTGATCGATATCCGGCGTCACTGAATAGCTACTATTATGGCAGTGCAACAGGCGAGAGGAAGGCAAATTTATTCCCCATTCCCTTCCACGTCTTATTTTGGTTTAATGTCTATGCCATTTCACTAATACCCCTGTAATTATACTGCGAATAACAGTGTACCTAACTTCGAGCTTAGAGATTTTCCTGTTCACGGTTTTCAAGAACGTAACAGCTAAATGTAAGGTTATGTTGTACCAATGAAATTATGCAGAACACCAATTCCATTCTGAAGATGGTTGTCTTATATATGTTGCTGGGCCGTCTAGTCCAGTATTTTACTAACATTTCGAAGGTGCTTGCTGCCTCCATCATCAGGACGAAGTTTACTCAGTCGTGAGAACCTGAAATCTCACGAACCTATTCCAATTTTATACTTTTACACCTTGGTTTTATACCAATTGTTGTTGAAACAAGATTAACTGCATCTGCCATAAATGTCTTTCCAAATGTACAGAAAATATTGCTAAATCTATGGAACGTCCAACATAGGCTACTCTTTTGTTAATGGCAGATTCGCTATTCATGTCGTCCCACTTACAACAGGCATCACTATTAAGAAAGCTGTAACAAATGCAAGGACTGTAAAAATTTCATTATAAACCTGATGATATGAAATGGTTGATTCCAGATGGTTTGTGGTTATTTGAAAATATTCATCATAGTAATAAGAGTAAATGTCTGAGCAAGAAATTAGAATAAAAGGTTGTAAGAGTATTAAGGGGTTATTAACCCCTCCCACTACAGATTTACATTCACATAAACTTACGTGGTAATACAACGCAGTTCTACAGAGGCACGTAACTATTAAATCATAAAAAAGACCTTACTTATTTACAACTTTAAAAGTTATTAGTTTATTTTAACAAAAAAACCTTCTAATTGATACTGATAATTATTGTGCATGAAGTAAGATCCATTTCTGATACTGATGATAAGATTATTCTATTTCTAATTTTAGTAGAAAGAGTCTAATAATAATAATAATAGTTTATGTATAGAATCTACAAATGAAAATGAAAATACAAATGTATTTACAAATGAAACTAAATCCTCCACCTACACTCTCATTATTACTGCATCTGTATGAATAACCGAGGTCAGTATGAGAGCGGGGCTCACGGAACGGGAACTTTGGTGAATTCTCACAACTTTAATTTTCTCCCACCCAACACGTTAATTGTCCGTCACATTGTTGCACTGGAGGGAATTAAAAATTCTTAAGCTGATGTGACGTCCAGTAGCATATAAAATGTTGACATGAAATTTGTGAAGCCCTGATGATAGAGGCAGCAAGTAACCCTGAAAACTCACTAAACCTCCGCCAGATTACACAGCATAACATCCCAGAAGATGGTCGTCTTCACGTGTGCTGTCATGTGAACACGAAATCTCATCTGAAAGGAAAGCATCTCTAAGTAAAATGTAAAGACCTCAAGACAGATGAAATGAGGAACAGTTTCGTTACCATCTCTTTGAAAGAAATGTAAAGAAAGATGAGAGGATAACATTAAAATGAAATGTATGTAAAAGGGTTCTGGAGATGGTACATTATAATCTGCGATGTAAAGCGACTAAGCACAATGCCCGATGTCGAGTGCTTCGGAACGTGTCCGTGTTTCAGTGTTCAAGGCCGAACCTCCAATGCCTCCAAGTCCTGCCCAGGTAGAGCAGCGGGCCAATGACGACACCAACTTCGTGAGCTCTTTAAAGCGGCTAATAACAAACAAAGATTACATTTTTCTCTTGATGTCATACGGCTTGAATGTCGGCGTGTTCTACGCCATCTCGACTCTGCTGAATCAAGTGCTGCTCGTCTACTTCCCGGTCAGTGCTGGTTCAGTTTTTACTTTCTCACTAGTGTAAATCCTGGTAACATTTCACAAAAATGCTAAATTAACCTAACTGTGCTTTGCGAAGTGACAGACATTAATTAATCCAGGAAATAATCAATCGTAATAGTGTTAAATAAATCCATCTTGTGTTTTTTAAAGAAATAACTCGCTGTGTAATCACTGATTACGCTACAATAACAATCCACTGTTCAAAGATGATATTTCCATCAGTGCGCTGCAGAAGCATTTGGTTAAGGTGGACAGAGCTGCTGCATGAACGGAACATGAGCCGCCTGTCCGACTTATACACCACTTAAGATAAACATCTCATCAGTCAGCATAAAAAAACATACAAACACACATCACATGGAAATGGCCAACACAGAAAAAACATTTCATACCATTACCAACAAAAACACACCCATCTGAAATCCCAAGATGCTGATCCTACTGTTCTATGTTGGCGTGCCTGTTTTCAGGACGGAGAGGAAGATGCTGGCCGCATCGGCTTGGTGATGATGCTGGCAGGCATGTTGGGCTCAGTTCTATCCGGGATTGTGTTGGACATGACTCATAAGTTCAAGTAAGCAAAGCAAAGCACAAACTGTTTCTCTAGACTGAACCCCCCACAGCACAGGGACTTAAATTTACTGAAACACAGGATAAAAACTAGTCTGGTAGCATCTCGATACAGCACATTTAAACAGCACGACAAAGGATTAAAATATGCAATGGCTGAATCTTCCATATTTTGAAGCTGTTAAATAAAAATTGTACGCTGGCTGCTCGGAAAATGTTATCTCATTCGATAATACTGTATCAACTGCAGAAGAGCACACTTGAATACAAATACAATAAGCGAGCTTTGTAGTGAAATGAAGAAAAACAATTCTGCGAGTATTCTGTTCGAGACCTGTCATTATCCTGTCTAAGAGCTAAAGTATTAAAATAATAATTTATATGAGAGGTGGCTCCATCAGTAAAGAGACTGGGCATAAACTCAATTACAACAACGGCTCAATTCCTGGCGTTGCAAATTTGTCTCATCTTCATCTGCGCACTCTCCTAGAGGCACGAAGACGATCACTCATCTCGTGTAGAGCCCAGCTCCAGCCTAAGTTTAAATTTAAGTCCCTAATGAGATTCAATATGTGTGAGTTACGGAACTTCAGGGCATAAGTTTAAAACTTTGGAGAAAGTGAATAGTGATGACATTAACGGGGCCTGGGAACAAGCTACGGAAAACGCCAAAACTTCATTATCATTAAGAGCATCACAAGCCATGGTTTTACGAACAATTCTCAAAATTAGAAAGCGGTGTAAATTGTTTTGGTTGCGGAGTCCATGCAAAATGCATGGAGATAATCTGAACAATTCACAAAGTTAAACTATCAGAACTTTCAGGAACAAAAGAAAGACATACCTCAAACGCAAAATTAACCTTAATCATAAACAGATCGGAGATTTAAACCCCTTTACTACAGGACTGCTAGCCAGACTAGAATGCTTAGGTTAAAGGTTCGCAGGTACTAATACGACACACGGCCAACTGAGTCGTGTATAAGCCAGCGTATGCCATGACGCACGGACAATAGAAGTAAATAAGCTTGAAACATTATGAAACAAATTACTAGAGACCTGAACAGAGGCATAAACAAATAAATAAAAGTTACCAACATAAACATTGGTAGATGGTGAGCGAGAATGATCTGCTTGGAAATTTTCATATTAATTTGAATTGCATGAGGAATTACTTTTGTCAGCTGACTGTACATGGAGTCAGGCAGACAGACATGAGTACAGACAAGCTCTTACTGCCAAAGTTAGTTCCTTCCAAGGCTTGGCAGCACTGATCAAGGCACGAGACAGAATATCGCATTTTGATATATGCATGCTTCTTAACTGTAGGCGGTCGTAAGCATAATTAATCGTACGTAGAATAAGAAAGAACTTTCAGAGCAGTGCTTGTACTCGGTTATAAGAACAGCAGTAAAACAAATTGATTTTAATGAATTCCTCTCGGGCTAAGAGCCATGTCAGGTGGTTTAATGGAGACAACACCAATGTTTCGAGAACCATCTAAATCCTCAGGGTAACCCAAGAAGAATTCATTATACTTAGTCACCGCGGAAGCTTCAGGTCATTCAAAACAAACTAATATTTATCAAAGAATAATTCTGTAATCAACTACATACAATATTTATCCAACATTCTTCTCTGACTGTTTACTTTACACATAGAAGGATCAGTGTAGATACTTGAATAATCAATAAAGAACTGAACAGGTATTCCGTATTTGTCGGATACTGGAGAAAAATTAAATATAATGGGACAGTACATCAGCTATTTACATACGTCAAGAAAATCTATGATTCAGTTGCAGGTATATTACACAACGTTATCAAGCGTGGTAATGTACAGTGAAATTTCATAAAAGGCAGGTAATTTCCTGACTAGCTGAGCAACAATCATCATGTAAGGAATGACTCTGCTCCATCAAGTCAGTTATTAACCCACTGGCACCCACAGACAGCTGCAAAATGCCAGTTCTGACAACTGGCTTCATTAACATAAAGTCGCTTCAAGGCTATGAATTAATTTTATTTGGTTAATCTGCGTAGACAGAATTAAACAATATGTCAGTAGAAATAGGTTTCAGTAATCTGAATTCTACTCGACTGGCTCAAAACTGGATCCAGTGGCAGTGATGAAACTCGAGCTTCTGGTAAAAGAAAGTTACAAGATGTGTACTGGTGAGGTGTTATTATTACATTACACCTAACCTCATTGCTTGCAGGGAGACTACCTTGGCTCTCTACGTCTTCTCGCTACTGGGGATGGTTGTTTTCACGTTCACCCTCGACACTGGAAAGATCGCTGTCGTCTACTTCACGGGAACATTGCTGGGGTCAGTACAAATGCGCGTGCATCAACGCAGTTCAGAGTATAATGGAACTTTGAGGCTGTAATTTGCTTTTGAGACAGAGATGGAGATGTTACTCAAAACCAGTAATGACCAAACTGAAACAAGGTTTCATATAAGTATGCCTTCACGTAAATTAAAAGTTTAAAGGTAATGTAACTTAAAAGAGATAACACAACTTCCAACCATTTCACCACTCGGGGTATTAATGCACTAGCAGCATAACACAATTTAGAGTTTTAAAGGCTTAGAACCGTACATTAAAAATGGTAATTTATTTACAATTCACACCCTGAATTTAATATTTTTGTTTCAGAACTATATTTCCTGTTACATCTGACTAGAAGATTAACCTTTAAGATAAAATAATTTAAATGTCCTCACACAACCAAATTAAATGATTTAGAGTGCAGATAATTGTCAGATAAAATGTACTCTATTCACTGCAGTTATTAATCTAGAATCTTCAAATAAAATGTAGGCTAATATGGATGAAACAGTTTTCACCACACAGAAGTTTCAAAATTAGAGTACCAGCAGCATGGTTATGACTCTTTTCAATTTTGTTCCCAGATTTTTTAATTCTTCAAAATATTATAAAACGGTTAGTGGCATACACACTCCTCATTATTAAGAATGATCCGTAATCCACAGAGGAAAACTGGCCTAACCTACACAGACTTGTAGGTGTGCTGTGCCACTTTTGTTCTAAGAACCTTATTTTAATCGCACAGTAGACATATCAGAACAGCTTCATAGGGAAACGAAGTCTGAACACAGAATTCTGTTACTCCTGAACAGGCACCAGTGGGATATAATACTCACTGCTGGCAGAACACGTAAGCTATAAAAAGTAAGAAACAGCACCCTCTAATATTGGGCCAAACGTGGTAACAACTCCGACTTGTATTCAGGAGGTGTTCGATTTGAATCTCAACTGAGAAATAGACTAACCTGTTTGAGGATTTTCATAGTTCTCCTGAGTCACTCCACGCAAATGATTAGGCGCTACCCTGAAATAAACCATGGCCACTTCCTCGCCAAGTCTTTCGAGTTGAATGGGGTTCACGTTTTTATACGTAATATTTCTACAGATGGAGAATGATCGAAGATACGGTCCACACTAAAACAGCTCTTTATGCCCCTTGAAGAGGATGTATTTTTGATACTGATAGTTCGCAAGTTCATTGCTAACTGAAATTATCCTTATAAGATAAAAATGATGACAGACTTCAGAAAATTATGATAATGTAACTGATGCACATGCTAAACATAACCAACTGAAAATGTTGTAGTGGTCAAGGTCATTAAAAAAAAGTTTTCAGAAAACGCACACCAAAGTAACATTAAATGGTTTGCGATTCAGATCTACAAACTGTGCCACTCAAATGGATTTTCGTACAACACGAAACTTCCTACAGTGACGGAAGAACAATGTGCACCAAGGATTTTTGTATAAAATCTTTTTTAGTGCCTGTGCAAACTTGTCCTTCATACTGTTTGGCTCGCAAAACAACAGCCATACAAATTCTGATGTTGAGCAACGTGCGCTAAGACTCCTGCTTTCGTTAACATTTTTCTCCCCAATGTAAAGGAAACACAAAATCTGTATTTATTTTTCTAATTTATATGAACATTTAGGCATGTGAAATTTGTATATTACAAATTCAAAACCTGGTGACAAGCTAAAACAACTTCCAAATATCATGGGAAAACTGTATTAGACCAAATTATATATTTAGTAACATGAAGTTATACAATTATGAATTTATAATTCATACTAGCCTTTCTGTATACAGTGGACTGTTTAGAAAAAAGGTATCATATCCGTTCCCAAAAATAATTCTTCTGTGACTTCATTCCAGTAAAGAGCCTCCTTTATGAAATGTTAAAATCTGTCTGAAATATTCATAAGTATATAATTTTCGCCAGGTTCTTTATGACGGGCTATCTCCCTGTCGGTTTTGAACTGGCTGCCGAGCTCACATACCCTGAACCAGAAGGCACATCTGCTGGGATACTGAATGCCGCTGCGCAGGTATTTGGTATTGCGCTCACAAGCGGATATTCGTGGCTGCTGGAAGTTACTACTCATATGTGGGCAAATGGGGCAATGTGCTTTGCTCTAGCACTTGGAAATATTCTGACTCTGGTGATCAAGTCAGACCTGCGTCGGCAAGCGGCTCAGGGACCGCAGGTGACCATCATCCAGTGACGACATGACATGAGAACACAAAAAGGTAAATGTACCATAGGTTATTTAACACTGTATCAGCTACAGAGCAGAGAATGGGATGCGACCTAAGGTGTATGTACGTATGCCTGTCTCATTGCTAGTTATTGTACTTTCATTTGCTTCAAGTAATTGGAAAAAAAACTGTCTGAGGTTAAGGTTGAGAAATATTATGTGCAATGCATATCAGTCTGTTCAAGAGGATGCTATGATCTGAAATTCCTAAAGTTCACAAGAAATATACGTTCCTTGTGTTAAGCGCTACTTCAGCAGGCCCACGCATTTCAGACAAAGCTCCATCCCTATGTAATAACAATAAAATTGTCAGGATAAATGTTCCTTGTCGACACAGGACAGAGAACGTCCAAAAGAAAAAGAGCCATCAATTCAGCTGAAAACACAGCTGTAGACATCATGCAAATTTTACGGCTATGAAACATGGTTTATTGCCGAATGTCACAATCCTGACAGTTAATCCTTTCCATTCTGACAAAAAAAAATTGTTCTCTAGCACAGGGATGGTACAGGAATGCTAAAACAGGAAGGAAGTTTACATACAACGATTTTATAGGTAAACTTCACAAGAGCCCACCTGAAAGCTTAAGATGTTAAATTGATGAGAGGTAGTGTTGGTCCAGTCACCAGGTTACATAACAGCGGGCTGTGATGCGGCTGCAGAATTCGAACGTGTTTAGTTCAGATGAAACAAACCTCAAACTGAGCTTCTTCCCATGACAGTAAAATCAGAAGAAGCAGTATAAAATTCAGTGTAAGAAACAAGATACCTGAGATGTTACTGGCCACAGCATCAAATTCAAATGACATGATGCCTAGAAATTCATGTATACCTCAGCATTGCACGTTGGATAAATTAACAAGGTTCAACTCCTAGCAGCTATGTGGTGCCTCGGCCGCGCTTTACCCCCAGGAAATGACCCTGGTACCCATTGCATAGGAGGCTGGGTGGGCACGAGAGCCGGTCTGGATGCAGGGGCTACAGGACAAGTCCTCTGCCCCAGTCGGGGATCAAACCCTAGTCATCCAGTCCATAGTGTATCTATACTGACTGAGCTACTCCAGTTATATGAAATGAAATCATTTTCTGCAACAGACAGCAGTACAGAGTGCTCCTATTCAATTCATTAAAACTATTATCATTATAGACCACTATCATCATCATCGTTATAATTAAAGATGGTACTTATTTAGTACAAAGCAGTATCAAGGAACAGGGTTTGTCATAAACGCATCAAAAGAT